ACTACTACAACCTGAATTATTTATCACTTTTTATTTATTTTAATTTCTTTTCAGTTTTAATTTTGTTTCTTTTATGTAAAAGCTTATTTACAAATTAAATTGTAAAACATTTTTACTGTATATTTAAGAAATAATTTTTAATATAATTAATAAATTCTATTACATTAATTTAATTAAATGTGGTTATTTTTTTATATTTTGTTGAATATAGTTAGGCATTAAAATGTTAGAAATTCGCGTGGTTTTTAGGTGATAAATGTTAGATGTATTAATATGTGGGATAGAAAATGTTACATAAATACAATTCGTATTTTTAAAACCTTTTATTGACCTTATAGTCAAACATTAGGCGCTTACGACTGTTAAATGGTTGGAAAGAAAATTCGAAAAGCAATTTGTTTTTATTCTTTATTTCTTATTTTAAATTAGGGGGCATTGCGGTGGGCAGAAAAACATCGTTTTGTTAAAGCTCAGATTTTAAACTTTCTAGTAAATTGTGAAGGAATCGTAGTGTTCATAGAATAGAAACTCGGAATGATATAAAACACAAAGTCACTGCAAAGTCCCCAGACCATTAAAGTGTCTCACAGCACATGAATTCGAAATGTGGCAAAAATGTTCCTTTTTTGGGATATATTCTATAATATAACTGCTTGAATATTAGTTTTTGTCCTTAAAAGATAACGCAAACTTGTTCTTAGCTGTGGCACAAAGCAAAGTATAACATGTAGTCCGTCTCTTTAACAGCAGTACCTAACTCTAAGCATGTATTAGTGAAAAAGTACCTTACAAAGAATATTTTAAAATAATAGAGAGAAAAGTAAAATTAATCACTTAAGGAAGGCACTTGGGAACAATTAAACACCAAAGTCAAAAATTCGAAAAAAAAAACATCCATATCATACAAAATTTGTTAACTATATATGAATAAAACCCTTGAAAATACTACAAGTTGGTTTATTTATTGAATACAATAACTCATCTTCAGGAAAGTTTGTTTTGGACTGTACACTTCAAACGAACACTTGCTATTTGTCCGGCAAGGCCTGTCTGAAACGTTAAATACTATTTTTCAAACATTATTGTAGATTATTTTGCTATAAACATTTTTGTTATAAATTCCTGACAATGTTGTTATTCACCAAATATAAAAAACAAACTTTCGGCACAATATTTTTAGGATATTGCACTGTGGCTAACTAAACTCTTCTTGCAGGCCATTATAGATAGACGCATCCTTAACTTTGGAAACTATTTTTCATAATACTGTGTAGTTATCTTTTCAAAAGCCTGCCTGCCCACTGTCACTTAAATCAATAAAAGCAATGATGTCGTCGCTACAGACGGCAGATGGTTTTTGTGAACATCAAAATGGAGATTGCCGGTTCCTTCCTGGCTTAGTGAAAATAGTACACTTTTTTATTGACTAAATAGCTATTGCTTACCTTGTAAACTGCATTTATTTAATCCATTAAAACCTGTAAAAGAACACTTCACAATTTGCTCAAAAAATATTGGTGACCGATTGGCTTTAACTTTTATTTCTTATGTTTTTATTAAATTTAATACTTTTAACATAACATTTCATATTATTAAACTATTTACAAGAAAATCTTTGAAATTTTTTCACAAAAATTTAACTATTTTTACTATTTTCACTTGTTGCCCAATTTAAGGATCCATTTTTGCATTCACTTGCATTTTTACTGCATATTTTCTGTAGTAACGGTACTCTTTACATAGATGTATTTTCGACATAAGGTGCTGCCAGATTTTGAGATTAATATTAAATGTTACCATATTGGTGCATATTTTATTTGAATGAAAAAACTGTTATTATATTTTATACTTTGGTTAAGCTATGTATACTAGACTAAAGACTAGACTATAGACAAGGCTACAGACTAGACATAGACTATACTATACTATAGAACAGACTATAGACTAGACTATAGACAATACTATAGAGTAGACTATACTATTGACTATACTGTAGACTAGACTATGGAATAGACTATAGACTAGACTATAGAATACACTATAGAGTAGACTATAGACTAGACTATAGACTAGACTATAGACTAGACTATAGACTAGACTATAGACTAGACTATAGACTAGACTATAGACTAGACTATAGACTAGACTATAGACTAGACTATAGACTAGACTATAGACTAGACTACAGACTAGACTATAGACTAGACTATAGACTAGACTATAGACTAGACTAGACTATAGACTAGACAATAGACTAGACTATAGACTAGACTATAGACTAGACTAGACTATAGACTAGACTATAGACTAGACTATAGACTAGACTATAGACTAGACTATAGACTAGACTATAGACTAGACTATAGACTAGACTAGACTATAGACTAGACAATAGACTAGACAATAGACTAGACTATAGACTAGACAATAGACTAGACTATAGACTAGACTATAGACTAGACAATAGACTAGACTAGACTATAGACTAGACTATAGACTAGACTATAGACTAGACTATAGACTAGACTACAGACTAGACTATAGACTAGACTATAGACTAGACAATAGACTAGACTATAGACTAGACTATAGACTAGAGAATAGACTAGACTATAGACTAGACAATAGACTAGACAATAGACTAGACTATAGACTAGACTATAGACTAGACTATAGACTAGACTATAGACTAGACTATAGACTAGACTATAGACTAGACTATAGACTAGACTACAGACTAGACTATAGACTAGACTATAGACTAGACAATAGACTAGACTATAGACTAGAGAATAGACTAGACTATAGACTAGACAATAGACTAGACAATAGACTAGACTATAGACTAGACAATAGACTAGACAATAGACTAGACTATAGACTAGACTATAGACTAGACTATAGACTAGACTATCGACTAGACTATAGACTAGACTATAGACTAAACTATAGACTAAACTATAGACTAGACTATAGACTAGACTATAGACTAGACTATAGACTAGACTATAGACTAGACTATAGACTAGACTATAGACTAGACTATAGACTAGACTATAGACTAGACTATAGACTAGACTATAGATTAAACTATAGACTAAACTATAGACTAGACTATAGATTAGACTATAGACTAGACTATAGACTAGACTAGCCCATATACTAGGCCGTAGAATAGAGTAGACTATAGACCAGACTATATATTAGACTACAGACTATAGACTAGCCCATATACTAGAGTAGACTATAGAGTAAACTAGACTATAGACTAGACTATTCACTAGACTGTGGACTAGACTATAGACTAGACTATAGATTCGACTAGACATAGAATGGAGATTTTAAAGTTAATTTTGGAACCAATTATTTTTATTTACCATCTTACCATCTTCTTTTATTTCTCTACCATTTCACTTGTAATAAAACAAAATTTAATTTCTGCTAAATATATTTTTTATTTTCTTGTTTTCTTTTATTTGTATTCATACATAATTTTGTTTGTTTTTTTAATTCTTTTAATTTATTTTGAAAATTGTATGTTTTGCTTAATTCTGTTTTTTTTTTTAATTTGTTTAAAAAAAGCCGAGAGTTATTAAAATATATATAGTAGGTATAAGTATAGAGTATATAGTAGAGAAAAAAAACGATATTAAATTCATAATTATAATATATTTATAAGAAGAGTACTTAAACATTATACACACTTATATAATTATATAAATAATTAATATATAAAAATTAAAATTATAAATATAAAAAAATAATAAAAAATTATATTGTTATATAATTAATTGTAAATCACTTCAAACTAAAGCAAAAAAGTATAAGAAAAATTTTGATTTTTTTTTAGGAAATTTAAATAAACTAAAATTTAAAATTTTAAAATTAATAAGTCGTTTCGCAGAAACCTTTTTAGAGAAAAACAAAAACATACATAATAAAAACTACTAACAAAAAAAAAACTAGACTTGTTAATTTATAACTTAATGAGTTGTTTACAAAAAAAATATATTAAAGAAAATTTTATATAATAAACAAATATTTTGTTTTAACAAAATATTTCAAATTAATACACAATTTTTTTTTTTAAATATAGAAATATATTGACTCAAAAATGTTATGCATTATTTATTAAACACAATGTGTAATAAGAGATAAATAGGGCGTACGTGTAAAGGGGAGTGTGTGGGTGTGAGAGAGAGCTTAAAGCTTTTTATAAAAATATTGGCATTATAAAAAATATCTTTTTTAAAAAAACATCATATAAAATCACAAGAAAAAAACAAACATGCTTTATATAAAAAAAATTATGTATAAAAAACAAAACGGACGCCATTGTTAAAAAAAACAGAAATTTAATTAAAATAAAAAAACTACAAGAGATTTTCAGTAAAAGCTTAGAAAAAGAGAGTAAGTTGAGTTTAATAGTTTTAAACCCGAAGGCAGTTATTAATCTTATTTATTTTAACATGCAAAGCAATACATTTAAGCCAATTCGTAGAAAACCAACATCGAACTGTGGCCAAATGAGTAGAGTTTTAAATAGGAGTAAAAATAAAGCTTTAAATGCAAAATAAAAGCTTTAAAGAGATCATTCTATTGCTATTGAAACTCCTGTATATTTCTCTCATTCGTTTTCTTTTGTTAATTTTTATACACAAAATACCAAATTCTAAATTATTAATAAACCAAAATTATTAAATTGTTTTTTTTTGTTAAATATTCTTGTTTTTTTGTATTGTTTCAAAGTTTTAAACCTAAATAATATCACCAAATGGTTTTCTATGTAATGTAATGTACTGTATATTATATATTAATAACTTATGTGCTAAAAAAAACAAACTTATTTTCTTTGCTGTTTCGAATTTCGAATGACAAGTTTTTTTGTTTTGTTTTTAAGATTTCAATTCAATTTTTCTTATTAAATGTAATTTAGTTTAATGTATATGTATGTAAGTTTGGTAATTGTAATTATTATTTCCTTTAAAGGGGCGGGTTTGTTTTTTTTTTAATTTCTGCTTTAGCTTTTTTATAAACTTAATATTGTTTGTATTTTTTTATATTGTGCTTTAGTTTTTCTTTTTAAATTTTCAAAAACTTTTGTTTTTATTATTAAATGTTTTCCTTTTTTTCTTTTTTAATCCTGGTTTAAGTTTCTAAGGTGTCAAACTAAAGCTTGCTAAGTTTTTTTTTTTTAATTTTAACAAGCAACTAATTACTTTTGTTTTTGACTAGAGTTGCTGTTTAAGAATATGTGAAGCCAAATTTTAAGAATCCAATAATCCAAAAAAACGGTAGTATTTTTTATAATCTGCAAGAGAAAGTATATATAAGATAAAAAAGATTTTTGAAAAGGTTTTATATTTAAAAATAAAAGTGAATTTTGTAAGTTATTTGCGTTTGAGGGTTTTCCTTGTTATTTAAAAACAAGAGATTTGTGGTAAATTGTTTATAGATTGAAGTAGTTTTTAATAGTGATGTAAAGAATGCTGATGTATAGACGAGTACATTGACTAATCTATGGACTATTCTATTGACGAGTTTATGATATAGTCTATAGAACAGTCTACAGATTAGTCTGTGGCTCAGACTATAGACAAGTCTATGGAACAGTCTATACAGTAGTATATGGAGCAGTCTATATACTAGTCTATGGACCAGTATGTAGACTAGTCTATGGACCAGTTTAAGGACTAGTCTATGGACCAGTCTATAGACTAGTCTATGAACCAATCTATGGACTAGTCTATGGACTAGTCTATGGACCAGTCTGTGGACTAGTCAATGGACCAGTCTATGGACTAGTCAATGGACCAGTCTATGGACTAGTCAATGGACCAGTCTACCGACTAGTCTGTGGACCAGTTTATAGACTAATCTATGGACCAGTTTATAGACTAATCTATGGACCAGGCTATAGACTAGTCTATGGACCAGTCTATGTACTAGTCTATGGACCAGTTTATAGACTAGTCTATGGACCAGTCTATAGGCTAGTCTATGGACCAGTCTATAGGCTAGTCTATGGACCAGTCTATAGACTAGTCTATGGACCAGTCTATAGACTAGTCTATAGACTAGTATATGGACCAATCTATAGACTTGTCTATGGACCAGTCTATAGACTTGTCTATGGACCAGTCTATAGACTAGTCTATGGACCAGTCTATAGACTAGTCTATAGACTAGTATATGGACCAATCTATAGACTTGTCTATGGACCAGTCTATAGACTTGTCTATGGACCAGTCTATAGACTAGTCTATGGACCAGTCTATAGACTAGTCTATGGACCAGTCTATAGACTAGTCTATGGACCAGTCTGTAGACTAGTCTATGGACCAGTCTATAGACTAGCCTATGGACCAGTCTATAGAATAGTCTACGGACTAGTCTGTAGACTAATCTATGGGCCAGTTTATAGACTAGTCTTGGGACCAGTCTATAGACTAGTCTATGGACCAGTTTATACACTAGTCTAGGGACCATAATATATAGACTAGTCTATGGACTAGTGTGTAGACTAATCTATGGGCTAGTTTATAGACTAGTCTTGGCACCAGCCTAGGGACCATTATATAGACTAGTCTATAAACCAGTCTAAGAACATTCTATAGATAAGTCTATGGACCAGTCTATATAAAAATCATGAACTTCCTTGAAATCAGTACAAACCTTTAGTTATAACTATATGTTACCTCATTTAATTTAAGAGTTCTTTCATCCATATAAACCGTAATTAAGGTTCTAAAAACACATCTTCATCTATTCTTTTAAAATTTTCTTCATCATCATCATTTGACACTGTGCTGCTTCTTCTTCTTCTTCCTGTACCCCCTTTTCACATTTTATTCGATTATTTGTAATTCGTTTATATCGACATCGGCGGAATCTTTGCAGAATGTACTCGAACGTTCTAATTTTGATGCGACCACAATAGATGATGGTTGCTGCTGATGATCGATATCGTTATTTTCATTGTTCGCATTATGATGGGAAGTTTTTATGAGCAATTCGATCTTTTGTTTAACAGCCTGTGCAGTTTGATAAATCTCATTGGAATTTTGTAATGTGCGGTTTTTGTTATTACTTGACTGGTGTTGTTGTTGTTGTGAATTGGTTTTATTTACAGCGATACCATGAGTGGTGGTTTTCTTCAAGTGCAAAGTGTTCGGTCTACGTGTGGGTATATTTGAAGGTTGTCCATTACGATTGGTTATGACAGAAGAGTGGGAAGCTGAACGCATTACCGGGTGACCGCTGAATTGTTTGACTTGTTCTTCTTTGGCATTATGAGCCTCTTGTGATTTTTTAGGATTATCTTGTTGTTTGTTCTTTTCCTTTTCGGCTCGTCTGGCTAAGATTTCACGAGATTTGGCCGATAGGAAACTGTGTTTTGTTACCGGTGGGTTGTCATTCTTACCCGGTACCGAAATGGAGCGTTTATATAAATCTCTTGATGATTGATTCGAGGAAACTGATGATAGACGACTGTGAGCCGATTTGGTGGTGGTTACTGATGAGGGACTGGAGCCAGTGGAAGTTATTTTTTGTTGTAAATATTTAGGTGCTCGTGGACCTAAACTAGTAGGTCTTGAGGGTTTTGTTGTGCCATTGACAGTTTTGTTTTTTTGATTTTGATTAGTGTTGATGTCTGCTTTGACATTTTTTGGTCGCGCCAAGCGTGCAGATGTTAGCGATTCTCGTGATGCTGTTTTATTGGTAATCACTGAACTTTTCATGCTTTCATTTAATGAATCGACCCCTATGTCGGAGAAACGTTCAGTATCGGAAGACTTGTTAGTTTTACTTCTTGCCGGACGACAGGAAGCTGAAGCCAAACTGTCCAAGGACATGTTGTTGGTGGATTTTATGGTAGCCGCTTTACCATTGAGATGTTTACGTGCAGCAGGACTTGAATGTCTTGAACTTTCACTTGAAGATTGCTGATAGTTTTGTTTCTTTGCCAGACTCGCTGGTATGCTGGAACTAGTGCTGCTGCGAACCGGTCCCTGTGTAGTCGGTGTTTTCTTGGGTTCCAAATAACGTGGCCTCACATCGGACAGCTTTAGAGGTTGAGGTTTTGGTTTAGTTGTAGAATCAGCCGCTCTCGTTTCAATGGGTTTCTTTGGTTCAGTGGTTTTGGTTGTTGCGGATTTTGTAGCCTCTGATTTAGTTCTGCGGTGTGTGGCGGAATTGGTATTCACACTGTTACGTTCTGAGCCGACCGTACTTTGAGATATACCTCGTAGAGATTGTGGAACATGAGCACGAGAATTTGATTTTAAAACACGACCTAAAAGATAAAATTGTATGTTGTGAATTAAAAAAGAAAATTAGTAAAACAATTATCAACTTACTTGTTCCTTCTCTTAAATCATGATTAGCTTGCACACCCCGCTCGGTTGTCTGTACCGCATCGTGGGTCTGAGTGGCCTTATACAGCTGAGTATCGCCGGCCAAGGTTTTCTTCGAATGTGCCTGTATGGCCAATTTTACTTGCTGCAGATCTTGATTTCTAGTGCTGCCACCAAATGAAAATGCTTTCGAAACTGGCTTGCCTCTTTTCAAATCTAAGGGTTCTGTTAATCTGGCTAAAGTTTGAATTTTCTTTCTTAAATCTAAATCCATTCTCTGCCAGGCTGTTACTCTCATTGCCCTGGAGCATTGTCGAATGAGACACTGTTCGACGGCAGATAACAAAGAACTAACAAGTCTTATATACTCAACATCCCAGTCCAGATCTTCCTCCTGAAGACCTTGTAATTCTTTGGCCAATTCTCCTAAACCAGCAGGCATTTGTATGACTTTAGCTTGGAGCACAGTATTAAGACGGGTAATACGTTGATAACTACGACACGCCTGATCTGCTGTTAGTGAGGAAGCTGTCCTTAGGAGCACACCTTCCAAACGTGGTATATGACAACTACGATCATGACCCAGGGAAAGGAAAGAATCGCTGGCTATTAAGCTGGCAAAATGTTCTGCTATATACGTGTAGGCAGCATCTAAGATGTCACGCACTAGATTTTCGCAAACACCTCCCCAACGATATGTAGCCAATTGGGCTAATAAATTGTCGCAATCCAGTACGCAATCCAAAACGGATTCGGAGGTCTTGAAGAAAATTTTAGAAAAACACAATTTAAATATTAATATTATTCTTTAAGATTTTTCACAGTTTTTAAAGAATTTTTTCTAAAACCCTTAAATTAACAAATTGTACTTACCAAGTATGCAACAATCTGTTGACGACATCTACCCAAAATATCTCCAGGCAATTGAGCAAACTGACGAGTAGGCCACACCTTCAAATAATGGCGACAAGTCCATCTTAAACATTTGCGATACAAATCATCCAAGGCATGATTTAAAGCCACCGGCAGTACTTGTAAAATGCCATCAATACAACCCGAACAGGGTTTATGGAAATTATGGCAATAATTCGTTTTCAAAGCATGAGCTGTTACTTCCTTTAAACCTTCCAAACCTAGCAAATCGGCTAAAGCCGCCAATTCCATAAGACTAATGCCATCGGGTGGATGTGAAGCGCCCGAATAGATGTGACACAATGCAAAATGCACAGCTGAGTAAGAGTAACCCTGTAACGAGACCACACTAGTCGATTGATTGCCCGCCAACATGGCAGCAAAATATTGGCAACGAGAACGTAAAATACATTTATGAGCCTTAATGCGCCGACCATGAACTTCGACAATCATATCTGTAGCGATTTCTTGCAAAAACATTTTTAGCAAATCTTCTCCCAGTCTTCGGGGTTGACGACATGATATCGAAGACTCATCCATGCCTGATCTGCTAATGCTGGAAGCCAAACTGGAGTCGGCACTTAAATCGGTTTGTATATAGTCCATGTGATCTAAAGCCATATCGTTGGGTAGAGAATTGGATATTTCCTTAGAGAAATTGGGAAACAGTCTGGATAAACTGCGCAAATTTTCCACTGAATTGGTAAAATTTTGAAAAGTGTTTCCTGTGGAGCGAGACATGGTCCAGGAATGAGGTCTGGCTCGATTATCATCACGGTATAAACGATTTATTTGCCGATGATTGCCACCTACACTGGTGCTCATGCGTTCGGGAGATTTCAAATCTAACTTCACTGGCTTATCCATATCCGAAAGCTTAACAAATGTTGTGGCCGTTGTGCTAGAAGTCTTATCGGCCTCGGCGTGCTCGTTGACAGTTTCCAGCAACATTTTCTGTTTCTCTATGGTGGCTTGCAGAGAATCCATTGTCAGATTCGTATGTATTTTCTTTGGTGATGAAGTTTCTTTGGCTTCAACTATCGTTTCCATTATAATGTTCGACATGCGACAAGAGGACGATGATGAGGCTAGATTCTGAGTTGATATGGGTATTTGAGAAGAGGTTGACGCGGCTGCTTGCAAATTCTTTAAAGACTCTTCAGCCTCACGAGCCGCTTGTTCTTCATCCTGTTGGAAAGTTAAATCATCTGTATCGGTTGTGGATATAGGCGAAAGATCTTTAGATAGAATACCATCAGTTATGGAAGCCAAACTAGATTTATCAAAAGTTTCATTTATTTGGACATCTCTACGACGTTTCTTAATACGATTTGCCATGGCACCACCAGCAACGCCCTCCTCTTCTCTTTCGCCACCAGAGCTAGTACTCAGTTCTGATTTCGAACCCGTATAATCATCATAGGGTGATAGAGAACTGTCTATGGATAGAGATGAAGTTTTTGAAATAATGGGCAATTTATCTATTATACTCATTAGACCCCTATTGCCATTATCTTTCCCCTCATTATTGTTGGTTAAACTAATCGAGCGTTTATATTCGGTATTACCATTAGGATTATTGCTATTGTTGCTCCAAGAGTGTCGTTTATTGGCTTCATGTTGAGCTCTTTGCTGCATGGATATTCTGCGTATGGCCGCCACTGTTATAGGTGGATCTAAATTGACTTTGTAATCCAAAGACTTTGATTCTCCGATATTTGTTGTTTCGTTTTCAGTAGGATTTTTAAGTTGATTCGATTTAGACATTAACGTCTCAGTAGAACTGGCAGCAGATTTTACACTTTCTACCTCAAGTTTCTTTTGATTTTGGCTGGTCAACGAACTGCTCAAACGTTGTGCCAAACTAAAGGGTTCTTTGCGTGGCTTGATTTTAGCATTTTTATCACCATTTCCGAAATCAATAAACATGCTAAAGATGTTATTTTGCGAACTGTTATTGGATGTTTCTTCAGGTTTCGTTGCTGGCTTTTGATTAGGCAAATCATTGTCTTCTTTTGCTTTATACTCGCTGGTGGAGAGATTTACAAAAAACTTTGAGTTCGATGGACCATTAAACGATTTACTCATTTGGGATTCTGTATTAATTTTCTTCTCTTTGGGCTTTTTATCCATATCATCGAGGGAAATGAAGAAGCCACAACCACTTTTATTCGAACTGTTAGAATCAGTACGCTCTCTAAATTTAGTGTGTGAAGTCTCTAAACTAGAGGTTGAGCTAGTGCTTTTACGTCGTTCTTTCTGACAGTCACCCATATCTACTACCCAAGAAGCTATGCCGGGCAAAGGTTTTCTAGGTTTTGGTTTGTGCCTTAATTCCACCTCATCATCATACTCATCCCCTACGGGACGGGTGGGTTCAAAATCAAGCGATGTGAAACCACCCGAAACAATAGGACAAGTTTCGATTTGTCTTTTTAAAGAAGGGCTGTCACACTTTTTCGGCTGGTAGTCGGCTATGCAAGAACCACCCGAAATGATGGGATTGGCTTCATCAAACTTAGAACGTTTTGGTGTTCGGGGCATGGGTACCGGAGAATCGGTAGCATCACTGCAATAGGCTCCAGAATCACGATGATGTGAAAAGGAAGATGACGACAAAGTGTAATCCCGATGTATGGAGGACGTATTTGAAGAGGTATTGGGTTCTATATGCACTATTGAATTGTGAGGTGTATCCGGCAATAAATGTGGCTTAAGCTTTGTTACTTCATAATCCTCTAGATGATGCCGCGTTGCTGGCTGTTGCTGTTGTGCTGTATGACTAGGTCTATGTTCATGCTCGGACCACACCAAACTAGGAGCCGGACTAGAGGAAGAATAATCTGTAGTATAACTAACATCGCTATGAGCCCCCGTTTGATTGTGTTGATTCGACGTGGCCATGTGAGTGTTAAGTAGCTTGGTGTGTTGTAGTGGTAAAGCTGTATACTGTGTCGGATTCTGTGTATGATAGGAGGAGAAATTGGTAAATTTTCTTTCGGCCAAAGGATGACGCATTTTAAATAAATCCGAGGAGTCTGAAGAGTCTACATCATGAGCTAAGGACACCGAGGCCTCGGTAGGATCATCATTGATTATACCATTTTTATGATTATCCATTAGCTTATTCTCCGTTTCGCTGGGATTATTATGATCCCTTTTCCAGAGTTTCTCCTCATCCGACAAATTACTTACCGATTCATTCGACAACTGAGTATCATTTTTATGGCCATTTTCAGCATTATCATCTGAAGAACATGATGATGAAGATTTAGGTCTGTCTGGCGGTGTACTAATATTAGCATCATCGGCCAGATCCTTGGATTTAACTTTGCACCGGGCAAAGGCTTTATGGAATGTTTCTAATTTCTTTGTGGGTGAATCATCATCGGCTGTTGTCTTAACCTGAGCTTGTGTTGAGGGCTTAAAAGGCTCCACCTCATCTTCATCGCACAGCGAAGAAGCATCGATAAAACAAGCACTAGTTTGTGAAGCAGTCATGGGATTTTCCACCTTATTTAGGAGAATATCACGTTGCAGAGAAGAAGTACTACTGCCTTTTATTAACGAACTAGTATCAGCTGTTGCCGAATGACCAGCCGAATAGGTACGTTCTCTAGCCAGCGGCTCTAAGCAATCCAAATCCTTGTTTTTTATAGCTAAATGCGTATAGGAAGATGAAGGCTCTTCCTTATGCGTCGATTTACAATTATCTTTGGCGGCAAAATTCTTCTCCAACAAACCCACACAGTAGTTGGTTAAATCCACATCTGCTTGCGGTATTGTGTTATTGGCAGCGGCGTTGGTAGCCGCCTGAGGAAATACCGATTCCCAAGAACCAGTCTCTGAAGAAATCGATGATGTTTCCAGTATAACAATTTCCTCATTTTGTCTTTGTTTTTCTTCTTTAGAAGGTGTGGGATGTAAATTATTCGTTAAAGAATTATTGATTTTTAATTTAAGCGGTGGCAGGATGGGACCTTCAAAATGTTTATTATCCTTCCCCGAGGTGGAGGAAACAGCATCTGCATTTATAATATTCGAAGTAGAGCAAATATTATGATCCTCGCTGGGACTTATATTAGTACTGCTGACAGGAGAAAATGTATCACGTTCTTCATCACCCAAATCAACTTCACAAGTCTTGTTGGACGAACCGGAACCCTGACGTGGTAATAGTTCCAATGGATTCAAAGGCCTTCTTATATCTTCACTATATTGTGGTGCAGAGGAAGAAGAACTAGAACTTGTGCAGGTGTCGGGACTTAAAGGTGTTGTTACATTACTGCTAGTATCCATGTTTATTTAGGAGTTTTTATTCTTACTTATGATGAATGCATTTAGTTTTCAATTTGTGGCTGTTGTTCTCTACAAAATTTTATTTTTGGGACGGTCACGTTTTATTTAGGTTCGAAGGGAAGCTAACAAGTATTTTTTTTATTATAAATATTTAGTTTTTTTTATTATAATAATAATTATTTTTTTTTTGTTGCTGTTGTTGTTTGAGAGTTTTTGTTCTATCTGGCTGCTAGCGACTGCTTAGAATAAACAATGAGTTTGTTATTTGTGTGGTACAATAAACTCACTACATATGGCGCTTGATTTCCAATATTTGTTTGTTTAAAAAAAGCTCTTTAAGAAAGATTGCCTCCCAATTCCGTTGTTGTTGTTGTTTCAATTTATGTAGATTTTTTTTTTTTGAATTCTTCTTTTTTTCAAAAAGGAATCGTTATTGTTCTTTAGTTATAGGCAAAAGTTATTTTTTTTTTTTAAAATTGTTGTAACTTTACATGGCAACGTTTGTATTATTATTTTCTCTGTTGTTTAGTAGATTTTTTCCAATGTTTCGTTATCGCAGACAAGTATAGTTGAAGCATGCAAAAACTTGTCTATGTAGGAAATGGAAAATAACAAAAAAAATATACTCTTAGTTCAATAACGTCCCATCATCTTTATTTTTGTGGAGTGAAAAAAAATAATATATATGTTCACAGAGCATTCCAAGCTTAACTATCAACAAGAATATATTATAGTGGCAAATTTTGTTTTAGTGGCTAATAAGAGTTTAGGTTTTGATTTTAAATATTGTACTATAAAAAAAAATGGTTGATTTAAACTTTTGTCTAAAAGTGACGTTAATCAAAAAGTCAGACTTTGATTTGTGTTGCTCATCTCAGCAGCCAGTATAACTCTATAAAGTTTCTTTTGTTTCTTGAAATCGATATTGTTCGGTTTAATGCTGTAATGGTTCTGTGGTTTCCACTGGGGTTGCTGCTGCTGGTGCGGCTGTTTTATTTGCTGTTTTAAATCTGCCTAAATGCCTTGATCCAACAACGTATTTAAACAATTTATCTTGTATCTTTAATGCATTTTAGCACCCAATTTCTTATCGTTTATTTTTTATTTCTGTTGTATGCTGGGCAGTATAAAGAGAGATAGAGAGTGAATGTGTATTTTTCTAGCTTATTACAAAAATAACACTTAATTGTTTATTTGTTCTAGTAGATAGATAGATGGATGGCTACATGTATGACTGAAAGTGTTTCTTTATAAAGAAGCTACATTCACTAGTATGTCGTTTTTTTTTCCAACAACTTCAACAGTCCCCTCTTAGTTTAGATTCTCTTGACTTTAGTAATTTGCTCCACCGCGTGTTTCTCTGTTAAATTTTTGCTATTTTAAGTACTTTTTGAACATGTTTTTAGTTAATCTTCAAGATACTTATAACGTC